CAGTTTTCTCATCTATAAAATTAAGAGGTTGAATGTGATAATTTCTAAGATTCCTTCTTCCTGTGATTATATGATTCTTTTCATCAGAGGAAATGTTTCAGCTCCACAGAGCCAAGGGCAGAGGTGACTGATTATATATGTGTGTTGTGTGTGTGTGTGTGTGTGTGTTTCCAAATGGAAAAACAAAAGCAATTTAATTGCTAAACTAATTTGTATGCCAAGAGATGGGAAATTTTCCAGCAGGGTAATCAAAGTCACAGAAAAGTTGGATCCACAAGCTCACTCCTAAGTGGCTGATTTTTTTCATATATATGTAAAATTAACCAGGTCCATGTAATAGGAAGGAAATAGGTTTATTCTCTTATTAGCTGTCATAGACTCCTATCAGTTTAGAATTGGAAAGGACCTCAGAGATCATGTAGTCTCAGTCTTTTATTTTACAGATGAAGAAACTGGAGTTTAGAGAGATTTAATGACTTGTCCATAGTTACTGTTCATCAGTGACAGAAGAACCTTGTCTCCTGACTCTCCGACCAGTCTTTTTGCCACGCTGTGCCATCTTTTCCTGGAGCTACAAGATTAGTTTTCCCCTAAAAATGGAGAATTAGGGTTTAGGTCTGTCAACCAATAACAAGGTGACATTATTCAAGGCTGGTCATGCCATGGGTTTTCTAAATTTACAGTGACATCAACTTTTAGAATATATTGTTATAGGTAGTAATTATTATCTTCTCAACAGTAGGATCTTCCAAGTATATCAAACATTTGGCCTCCTCTCTTCCTAGCAAAGGTGAGGGACTATGAATGTGGATATATACATACACACACACATACACACGCATTTGTATGTATATGTAAGCATAAGTATATGTGTGTGCATGTATGCATATGTATACAGATATACAGATAATGATGGCCATATATAGATGGATCCAGATTGCTATAGATAGATATAGATATATAGATTTCTATATCTATCTAAAGATATCAATATATAGAGAGGTAGTAGATAGAAAGATAGATACTACATATATCTATTGTGTGTGTATATATATATATATATATATATATATATATATATATATATATATATATATAGAGAGAGAGAGAGAGAGAGAGAGAGAGAGAGAGAGAGAGAGAGAGAGAGAGAGAGAGAGAGAGAGAAGCTGGGTAGCTCTGCTAAGGACTGTACCTATAATTTCATTAATATAAGGAACTCCTGGATGAATTAACCTCCTCTACCAGTGTAAGCCACCAACTTTTCTGTGGCTTATAGTCCTAGAGAACCATCTAAAGCACTGAGAGATTAAGTGACTTGCTCAGGTCATACAACCAGTATGTGTCAAGGGCAAGACTTGAACCCACGTCTTCCTAGCTTTGGGACCAGTCCTGTACAGACAATGCCACTTTGCTCCCTCAAACAGTTTTGCTGAACTGTCTTTTTTCTTCTTTTTAATAATTCTTTGTTACAAAAAGTGACTCACTAGGTAGGGGAGGGAAGAGAAATAGTTGCAAATGAAGATGATGTTAAAAACAAAATATATCAATAAAAAATGTTAAAGCTTCTCATACAATTATTTCTACTATGTTTATCAAGCACAGTGCTATAGAAAAGGACAAATGAGGGAAAAAAATGAGATTTATAACTGAATGATGAATACTGAAATACTCCTACTACTAGATAGCTAGGCCTTGTTTATATCTAGTACCTACCTTCCAAAAAGCCCAAAGATCTTACAAACTATATCTTGTTAGTTCTTTACATCCCCTAGAAGAAAGCAAAGGATAAGCCACAACTTGTAAAAATGGTGAAATAAAAGCCAATCCTTTCCATTTTAGCTGAAAGAAATGAGCTGTAGACAGTCGAAGCTAGAATCACAGTCTTGAGGCCAAAGGCCAGATAAGGCTGAGTTAGATGAAAACCGTGCTATCAGTATGCCAAGGAAAGTCAGAGGGGGGCAGCAACTCCTATGCCTGATAAAGTTACAATTAATTAGAAAAAGGATCAAGTGCAATGATATATATGCTAAATTACCACAAATCTGATTGGAACAACACCACTTGGCTATTAGTAATGACTTGACATAATTTCTTAAGGAGCTAATAACATTAAATTTAAAAGCTAATTGGGAAAAATGAATCGTTGTTTGTTTGTGTAGAATTCGATAGTAAGATATTAAATGTCTCCTCTGCCTTACAAAGTCCAATCTAAGTAGCCTGTGCTTAGGGAATATTTCTCACTAGTTAAGAGTATGTGCTACAGAAATCAAAGAAAATTTTGCAAAACAAAACAAAACAAACACACACACACACACACACACACACACATAAATCAAAACCAAAAAAACCCCTTAAATCATAAAGATGTGTGGGTAAATCACAGAGACAATAGGTCTAGCTTGTTTTTTCTCAAGACGTAGAGCTTTCTGACTTGTATCCTTGCTCCATTCAGTCAGCATTCTGGGTATGAGAGACTGGGTAGGATGTCAAGAGACTGGGCGCACTATGTCAAGAGTCCCAACCTGGGGGTCTGTGAACTTTTTAAATATTTTGAAAACTATATTTCAATATTACTAATTTCTTTTTTAAGCCTATATATTTTATTTTACACATAGAAAGGGGTTCACAGACTTCACTAGGCTACCAAAGGGGTCTATGACACAAAAAAAGATTAAGAACTCCTGCTCTAAAAACTGAGTAAAACCAATCTCCTAGGCATCTTGGGGGCATATCAATAATAATAATAATGATAGCTAACATTTATATAATGTTTTTACTATGTGCCAGGCACCATGCTAAGTGCTTTACAACTATTATCTTATTTGATCCTCACAACAACCTGGAAGGTAGGTACTATTACCCCCATTTTACAGATAAGAAAACTAAGGCAAATAAAGGCTAAGTGACTTGCCCAGGGTGACACAGCTAGAAAATAGCTGAGGCTAGATCTGATCTCACATCTTCCTGATTCCATGCCTAGGACTCTATCCACTGAGCCACCTACTTGACTTATGAAGTCCTCAGCAGAACTTGAAACTGAACAAAGCCTGGGGTCAGAGAATGTGATGACCAGAGGCCAAGGACTTAGGAATGCACCCAAGGCCATCACAGCTTTTACTGACAGCTTTTTCTAAAATCAGCTTTCTCTCAATTTTAGTTTTCCAACTGTGAAAGGAAAGAGAAGTATTATACACCCATTATACACTAGATGTTTGAAGGATAAAATCATGTGAAATCTCATCCACATGGAGACAGGTCCAGCTTTGACACTCAACGCGTCTTTAGCGCCCTCAGCTGACTCTCTTCTTTGATTGGAGGGCTGGGGATGGCAGCAATAAGCTCCTCCCAAAGCCTTCCTTTATAGAGGGCTCTCATCCTGGGGGGAAGGGTTTTTCAGCTTCCTTCAGTGCACTGTCCTCCCCATTAGATTATAAGCTCCTTGAGGGCAGAGACACCTTTCTTTTTCTTATTTCTATCCCCAGCATACAGTATAGTGCTGGGCACATGATAAATGTTTACTGAAAAAAAAAGAAGTCTATATCATGGACTCGTTTCCATCTACACTGATCACCCACCCCAAATTCCAGATTCAGTATGCCTCCTCAGGCTCTTTTTCCATGTGGAGGTTTAAAAACAGTCTATTCAGATACATGGCATGTAATCCAGGTATCTCTTCATTGCTCCCCAACACTGGTATCAAGACTCCAAACCCTCACAGCTGGGGGCACTCCCTTCACCCTTAGATACTGCATTCACTTTCCCCATGCTCCTTTAAACAAGTCTGAACCCTGCTACTTTAGTTCAAAATGGGGGACATGCACCCCAGGGGGGATCAGCACAACCATTCAATGGAATACAGGAAGAAAATATTAGAACTTCTGTGAACATTTGCTTTTATCTAAAAAAAGAAATGAAGTTTCATTAATATTATACAGATTAACATTGTCAGCCTATATATTAGGCTGTACCTCAGTCACATGTCATGTGTAGCCTAGGAGAAGAGTGGAGCTTCCACAATGCAGAAGGGTTGACAACAGTGCCCTGACTCATTCACTTTCAGTATTTTGCAAAATATCACAGTTTACATTCGCTCAAGTAAGTGAATTTGTGGATTATGTTACCGAGTTTTAACTAAACTAACCCTCACAAAGTGGCTTAAAAAGATTCTTGCAGAGAAACTACAGGTGAAAAATAACACTAATAATGAGAGCAGAAGAAAGCAAAAAATGGGAAAGACGATTTTTTTTTTTGCCTAGGCAATGGGATTAAGTGACTTGCCCAGGGTCACACAGCTAGTAAGTGTCAAGTGTCTGAGACTGGATTTGAACTCAGGTCCTTCTCACTTGAGGGCTGGTGCTCTATCCACTGCGCCACCTAGCTGCCCCTCAAGTCCATCTTCTATAGGAAGCTTTTCCTAACCCTTTTTGCTAGGCTCCAGGAGGAGTATTATTTTTGCTCTTCTTATCCTTTCAGCACTGGAACTTAAAAGGTGTTAGATGTCAAACATGTCATCTTCCCAAGGAAAAGAAATTAAACATGGATGCCTATCATGAATCAAGATAAGGAGAGGAAGTTTAACAAGGCAGTGATGCGAAAAGGGTCCCAGAGCAGCCATTATGAAAATAATGTTCAATGGCTTATTCAATCCCTCCAAACCAAAGCAAAATGATATTAAGGCAAAAGCAGAACCTAATACCCTGAAGGTCTCAAGTAACTTTTAGAAGATAAAACGAATACATAAAGGTTTCAGAATTCAAAATAAGTAAAAGATTGCTCCAAAAAGAAAAAAAAGTGTACCCCTTGCAAAAGCTTAGTCAACTGAGAGATAAAGACCACTAGGCTGTATGTTTTGCAGAGAACAAACTGGGTAACAAGGTGGCTGGAAAACAATGGAGGTTTCTCTGTGTAAGCCTGTATGCTAAGAAATCTCCATTTCATAAACACTTTAACTTTACAGCATAAGTCCTTTCAAATGAGTAAGAGGAAATTGTTGCCCTTACATATCTGGATGTTTCTTCTTGGTTCTGGTCATTCATGTCAGTGGGAAGAATCCGTGTGGCCATTGGCCCCTGGGCAAAAGGTTTCGGCAACTGGCCCCTGAACTCTGATGGAATGAACTGGAGTTGCCAGCTGCCAGAAACACAAATAGAAAAAAAATGAGGAAAACACAAGGGAAATACATTGCAAAATTCACTTTAAGTAAGCAAAAAGAATCAAGTAAAAATATTGCACTTGGGGAAAATAATCATTCCTGCCATGTTCAGCAATGATCAGACCACATATGTATCATGCCCAATTCTGGGTACTAGTTAGGAGAATGATTACCTGGAGCACATCCAAACAAGGTGGGCTGGTAGTGAATGCTGGTGAAAGCATGTGAAATCATGCTATCTAAGGGCTGCTTAACAAAATGAGGATGTGAACAATTCAACCATACACAAATGATCACAATATATACAAATAGAACTAGAACTCAGTTCAAGGAATTAGATTCAACTTCATAAGTTTCACTGGTACTTGTTTGTCATTTGGTTGGACTGGAATTTCACTGGTATAGTGAACTCTCAGTAAGAAAACTCTCTCTACTAATGTATATATGCAAAAGATTAAAGCACTGTATATTTAAAAGAACAGATTACTGTGAGGAAATATACAAGCTAAAAGGAAAACGTGGCAGAGAACATCTGGGTAAGGATCAATGGGAAAGAAACAGAAGACACTGTAGTGGGAGTATGAAAAAGGATTCTCAACCAGGAGGAAGAAATGGATAATGAATTTGAGAAAAATACCATGGATCTATCAGGGGTCCATAATATAATAGTGAAGATACAACCGTGATTGAGGACTTCAACGTACTGAACATCTGCTGGAGTTCTTTCTCAGCTAATAGCTGAGAAGCTAACAAACTCCGCAATTGCCTTAATGATCATTTCATTGTTCAAAAGCTGTCTTACTATGTCCAGATCTTGCTATGATCTATAAGGAGAAATTAGTTGCTGAAGTAAAAAAGGAGAAAGAAACAACTCTGCAATCTTCAGGTTTGTTGTAGCTAAGGAAAGGAAATTGGGGGGAGGGGAAATGGGACCTGTGATTTCATTGGTATAAGGAATGACTCCTAGTGAGGAAAGTCCATCTACCAACAGAAAGCAGGCCCTGCTAGGCTTATAGCCTCAGCGAGCTGCCTGGGCCACTGAGAGGCTAACTGACTTTCCCAGAGTCACACAGCCAGGATAGGTCAGAGGAAGCACCTGAACCAATGTCTCCCTGACTCTGAGGCCGGTGCTCTATCCACCACACCATGCTGCCTCTCCAACTTTTAAACAGATATACAGAGAAGATGGAAGCAAGAGCAGAAGACCAAGGATAAAGACAGAGGAGGAATACAGTCCTGTAGGACTCATGTCAAGAATGCTAAATCTCAAAACAAGCTGAGGCTGGCAGTGGATGGGAAGGACCAAAACACGGTATGTAGGAGGCAAGGGAAAGATCAAAGAATGGATAGGATTGCTGGTTGGAGTACCAAGAAGATAATGGATCATGATAACAAGGCAGAACAATCTTCAGTCTGCAAACAGAATAAAAATGGCTAATGGGTCATTGAAGTCCACCATTCTCTCCACTTTCCATCAGCAGTTCTGCTTGATTTGTCCTCCTTGTAGCATGTTGCCCTTGCGCCACATACCCTCTGGGGTCCCTCTCCTTTCCAGATTCCTCTTGTATGTCATCTTCCCCCATTAGACTGTAAAGCTTCTTGAAGGCAGGAACTGCTTATCAAGTAATTATTTAATTATCATGTGGAAAAAGGATTAGACTTGATGCTTCAAAGGATAAAAGTATAGAAGCAATGTGTGAAAGCTGAAGAGAAGCAGATGTCAACTTGATATACAAAAACATTTCCTAATAATTAGTGCATCCTAAAAGTAGAACAGGCTGCTTCAAGAGCTCATGAGTCATAATGGGATCATAGACTGCAGAGCTAGAAAAGACCATAGAGGACATTAAAGATGAGGACACTGAAGCACAGAGAGGTTAAGTGATCTGCTCAGGGTCACAGCTAGTAAGCCACTGAGGCAGAAGTTGAACCTAGGTGTTGATGGCTCCAAGTCCAAAGTCATGTTCAACATGTCTCTAGCATGAATCCTCCATCACTAGAGGTCTTCAAGTGGAAGCTGGACGTGGAGAAGGGATTGTTTAGACAGGAGCTGGACTAAACGACTACTGAGGTCTCTGGCAATCATGACTGGTGATTTTGTTTATCTGAGAGAAGAAACGTCTTCAAATGTTTGAAAGGCTGTCATGTAGAAAAGGCATTAGACTTGTTTTGTTTGGCTCTACGGGGCAGAATCTCATGACTAGGGGAAAGCTAAAGGAAGAAAGATTTTGGCTCAATATAGAGAAAAACTGCTAACAATTAAAGCTGCTGAAAAGAATGCAATGAGTTGCTTTGGGAGGTGATAATTTGCACCTCCCTGTAATGGAAGATGGATGACCATTTGCCCAAGGTATTGCAAAAAGGACTGACGTATCAGGTAGGATTTGGACAAGATGAACTCTGAAATCTCTTATAACTCCAGGATTTTTATTCTAAAAATCCAAATAGCTAGTGTCACTGTAAAAAGAGAGATCACAAATTAACTCAGGGCCCCTAAGTTTAAGATCCCAAGATCATTCTTTTAACATATTCCATTGCATCTCATGAATATAATTTGCAAATTAATCATCATATTCTTAATTCCATATACCTAAGATCTACCAGTGGAAAAAATGTAGTCTTAGAAGTTCTGAATAACCACACTAGCAGCAGGAGTTCCTAAAACTGCACTCACTTTTTATCACAGACTAGGACAAGGAGCACACATCAATAATAAAGCAAATTCACTACATGTCTAGAAGAGTAAAATTCTTAGACATTTATTAAGCACTGATTATGTACCATACATTGTGCTAAGCATTGGAGATGCAAAGAAAGGCAAAAAAACTAAAATGAAAAAAACAACGCAGTCCCTTCCTTCCTCAAGGGGCTCCCCTTCTAAAAGAGGAGAAAACATGTAAACAGCCTCAACTCCATCAAGGATACATCCAGTGCTTTGTCTTAAATGCTTCTCAAAAGGATCTTTAATTGATAAAGTGCTTCGAAATACAAAAACAAAAAGTTTTGCCAAAAATATTTTAACTCAATGAGTAACAAGAATAGCATTTTAATAAAGTATTTCCCTCACAATAACTCATAAGTATTTAAGTTTTATTATCTCTATTTTTTTAAATTTTTTTTTTGGTGAGGCAGTTGGGGTTAAGTGACTTGCCCAGAGTCACCCAGCTAGTGAGTGTTATGTGTCTGAGGCCAGATTTGAACTCAGGTCCTCCTGACTCCAGGGTCGGTGCTCTATCCACTACGCCTCCTAGCTGCCCCACTATTTCTTGTTTTTTAACAGATGAAGGTCAGAAGTTAGTAAACTGTCCATGGTCACAGAGCAAGTAAGTGTCAGAGCTGGGACCTGTAAGTGTCAGAGCTGGGACCTGAGCTCAGGTTTCTAGATTCTTTAAGTTCTGAGGTCTTTCTACTATGCCACATTGTCTATTGAGTATAATCAAAAATAGGATTATCAGCTGGTAAAATTGCTGGAAATAGTACTCAAAAGAAGAGTTATATGACTCAGACTTCTCTTATTCACATTTCTTTTTTTTGCCCTAATATGATTCGGTAGCATTAGCAGTGTTAGCAAAAAGCATAATCACTTTTTATCACATGCAATATAGACAGAAAAAGGATGGTCTGTTAATAAGGTCCAAGTCACAATTTCCAAAAGTATACAAATGACTTCACATCAACTAAAGAGGTAGAAAACTGCTTTTACAGACATCTCCTAGGCCCTTTATAGGACTGGGTATGTTTTGTCTAAGTACAAAAATAAAAATGAATCCATATTAAGAGCTAACTTTCATGAATGTTATATGCAACACCTAATCTGTTTTCCCAAGGTCCTGGCCTTGGACTTCTGACCAAAAGGCTGACTGAACAGAGACAGACCACCTAGCTCCCACAGACCCTAAATTCAGCAAAAACTCGAAATTTGCACCAGCTGAATAATGGTTAAATTGGGGAGCTGAAGGTCAGTTCAAGAGCTCAGGGGACTCAGGATGAGACCAAGCAGGGCTAATCACTCCACCCAAAAGAAAAGCAGGAGGTGGAGTTGGCCCTATCACAAAGGCCCAATTCAGGAATTCAATCTAGAAAGATGAGTAAATCAAACAACATACTGACCAGTATAAAAAATGTATGCAGACCTAGCAGTCCTTAAAAATCCAGCCAAGGAGGAGAAAATAATTCCCTAATAACTACAGATACTCATAAAGAAAAACTGATTTTCCATAAGAACTATATAAATGTCTAGAAAAAATGAAGCAAGAGATAAAAAATGAAACAAAAGTTCTGGAGGCAAGAATTGGAAAAATAAGTAGTTTAGAAAAGGGTAAACCTTATCTAAGTAACAAACTCCCTGAAAACCAGAATAGCCCTAACAAAAAGCAATGACTTAGTGAGAAAGCAAGAAATATTAGATCAAAAGTTTGAAAAAAAAACTGAAAATATAATAAACTTGACATGATAAACAGTAGACCTAGAAAACAGCTCAAGGAGTGATAATTTTAAGAATCATTGGCCTCTTTGAAAACTATAGTAAAAGACAAGACCTGGACACTATCCTGATCTACTAGGGACAAATGTCAAAGTGAAAATTAAAATAATCTATCAATCACCTCCTAAAATACACCCCAAAAGGAAAAATCCCCAGAATATCACAGCCAAAATCCAGAACTCCTACATAAAATAAAAAATATTGCAAGAACTAGGAACTTTGAAAAACAAGCATAAGAATCCACAAAAACCAAGGAAAGTAAATTTATTTGAGCAATTCAAAGGAGACATATAATATAACACTAACATTTAACAGGGAGGAAAGAAATAAGTGTCCCTTGAGAACCTTAATGTCTTCAAGAGTAAGTCTAAGCAGTTAAATAAGAAAAACAGGGGCCCTGGGGATAGACTAGTTCTGTTCTAAGGGTAAAAGGAATAACACATTTCTGTAAGAAAGAAGGAAGAAGTGGAACATGCTATTTCTTATAATCGGGATATATGAGAACATACAAACATGGAAGATATTATGGGGAAGTGAGTATCAGATGAACCTCACATTCTTATTTGAAGCAGACAAAGGAGGACAAGATAGAGAGGAAGATAACAGGACTAGAATCTAAGGGCATGCCCATCAACTGGGAAATGCCTAAACAAATTGTGGCACATGAATGTAATGGAATATTATTGCACAATAAGAAATTATGAAAGAAATTATTTCAGGGAATGCTGAGAGTACAAACTGATACAGAGTGAAGTGGGCACAACTAGGAGAACAATTTAAACAAGGACAACAACACTGTAAAGAAAAACAACTTTACAAGGCTTAGGCATTCTGATCAATGCAATGACCAACCATGTCTCCAGGGAAGCTACTATGGATGAAACATGCTGGAGACCTCCTGACAGAGAGAAAGGACACCAAGTGCAGAAAAAGACATAAATTTTAAACAGGACTACCATATAGATTAGTTTTGCTTGCCTTTGCTTGTGTGTTACAAGATTTTTTTTCTTTTGTCTCCATTTTTATCTCCATTTTATAGTAATGCCCTCTCCACCCCCCAAAAAAAGGTTAACTGAAACATTATTTTAACACATAGAAGAGAATGAATGAAGGAAAGCAAAAGCAATCCTGTTTTAAAAATAAAGTGTGGGAATTATATATACTCTTTTTTAAAAACAAACAACATAAAATAGTGATACATAGCTTCAGAGAGTATCCTCTTTTCGTGTTATGCTCTATGGAAATGTTCTCTTTTTTGTTTTGTTTTTAAGTTCCAAATAAGAAATAACTTTTAAATTTAAAAAAAAAAGATCCTAATCCCATGTGACACAAGACAAAGCAGGACACATAACTAGACCAAGCAGAAGCACTTGGCTCCAGAAAAGCCCAGTGGACCACTGCTGAAGACACAATAACTCATTTCTTGCTGGGAGGCCTGCAGGTATCTATATAAAGACTTGACAATTGGTTCTAGACTTTGGCTAAAGTTTCAAAAAGAAAAAAATAACTAAGGAGACAGACTAACAGGATTGTTATTTCTACTCCTCAATTTAAGAAGTGAGTTGTAGGGAAAAGACCTATTTGCAACTTACTTCTCAGGTAGAAAAAAGCTGCTGGGATATCGGTACCACTCTTTGCCCACACAGACGTTCACTGGCCTCCCTTCTGGGACTGTGTGGATAGCGGGATCAGTAGCAATTCTGTGGAATTCAGGATACAAATCAAGGGGTCCATGATACCCTAAAATAATTATCAGAAAAGGAGATTCAAAACAAGATTCAAAATTTAATTGCAATGCATTTTAAATCCTTACTGAAATTCCCCAAGCAAAGGAAGAGTTTGAAGGTTCACAAGAGGCAGACCTTCTCAGGCAATGCCTCTTCCACGGGTCAGATGTTAACATGGTATACATCAATGAAGTTCATTTTGCTAAAAAATCCTTTGCTCTCTTGCCTTTCTCTACGCACTTTCACCTTTTTTAGTTTCACTGCTCTTATCCAATTTTAATGTCTTGTATTAAAATTAGGATTCCTAGGAAAAATGTCATCATAAGAACTAAGTCTCACATTAGCATCTTCCATTTTGGAGTTTTCTTAATTTAATACTATCCCCTTAAAAAAAAAGCAGATGTATGTAGATAAACAATTTATAGCTAATCAAAGTAAAAAGAATTCACAATTTTCTCTCCTATTGGTATTAAGCCAAATTACTTCGACAAGGCAAAAAACCTGGACGTTAAAGTAATAGCTTTCAGAGCTTCTCGCCCAAGGAAGAAGTCTCCTCTTAGCATAAGCAGCAAACATATCAAGTTACCATCAGCTAAAGTTTCAGATGAAATATCTCATGGACCCAATTTAAATTGTTCTCTAGAATACCCACCTCTGAACAGTGCCACAGATCGAGACAGGGATAGCAGCCCAAAGAGGAAGACAGTCCCTAAAGCTAACCAGTTGGAAGAGACTGTGTAATGTTCTAAGCGGTAGCGTTGAAACACAAAGTGATAACATTTCTAGAAAAAAATACATATTTTTTTAAAAAATTAATATTTTATTTTCCCCTGGTTACATGTAAAGACAATTTTTAACATTCTTTTTTTAAAATTTTGAGCTCCAAATCTTTTCTCTCTCTCCCTCACCTCCCCCCTCCCTGAGACGGTAAGCAATTTGATATAGGTTACACATGTTCAAGCATGAAAAACATATTACCATATTAGTCATGCTATGAAAGAAGACACAGATTTCCCCCCCCCAAAAAAAAACACTAAAAAAATACAGAAAGTGAAAAATAGTATACTTTGATCTATACTCAGACTCAAACAGTTCTTTCTCTGGAGGTAGATAGCATTTTTCATCATGAATCCTTTGGAATTGTCTTGGATCATTGCATCACTGAGAGTAGCTAAGTCATTCACAGTTGATCATTGTACAGAACTGCTGTTCCTGCGTACAACATTCTGGTTCTGCTCACTTCACTTTGCATCAGTTTATGTACATCTTTCCAAATTTTTCTGAAATCTGCTTGTTCATCATTTCTTATAGTACAGCAACATTTCACTACAATCATATACTATAACTTATTCAGCCATTCCCCAATTGATAGGCATTCCTTCAATTTCAAAATTTTTGCTGCTACAAAAAGAGCTGCTATAAATATTTTTATACAAATAGGTCTCCCCCCACCCTCAACCTTTTTAAAAATCTCTTTTGAGATACAAACCTAGTATTGGTTTTGCTAGATCAAAGCATATTATGCAGTTTTATAGCCCTCTCCACTAATGGTACATTAGTGTCCCAATTTTCCCACATCCCTCCAACATTTATTATTTTCCTTTTCTGTAATACTACCCAATCTGATAGGTATGAAATAGTGCCTCAGAGTTGTCTTAATTTGAATTTCTCTAATCAATAGTGATTTAAAACATTTTTTATATGACTAGAGATAACTTTGATTTCTTCATCTGAAACTGCCTGTTCATATCCTTTGACTATTTATCAACTGGGGAATGACTTGCATTCTTTTAAATTTGAATCAGTTCTCCTTATATTTGAGAAATCAGGTCTTTATCAGAGATACTTGCTATAAAAATTGTTTCTCAGCTTTTTACTTTCCTTTTAATACTGGTTGTGGTGGTTTTGTTTGTGCAAAACCCTTTAAATTTAATATAATCAAAATTGTCCTTTTTATATCTAGTAATGCTCTCTCTCATTTGGTCATAACTTCTTCCTTTTTCCACAGATCTGACAGGTAAACTATTCCTTGCTCTCCTAATTTGCTTTTGGTATCACTCTTTATGTCTAAATCACGTACCCATTTTGAGCTTATCCTGGTATAGAGTGTAAGATATTAGTCTATAACTAGTTTCTGCCATACTGTTTCCCAGGTTTCCCACAGTTTTTGTCAAATAGTTAGTTCTTGTCCCAAAAGCTGGATCTTTGGGTTTATCAAACATTAAATTACTATGGTCAAATTTACTACTGAGTCTTGTATATCTAATCTATTTCACTGATCCACCACTCTATTTCTTAGCCAGTACCAGATAGTTTTGATGATTACTGCTTTATAATACATTTTGAGATCTGGTACAGGTAGGCCACCTTCCTTTACATTTGTTTTCATTAATTCCTTTGATATTCTTGACCTTTTGTTCTTCCAGATGAACTCTGTTACTATTTTTTCTAGCTCTATAAAATAATTTTTGGTAGTCTGATTGGTATATCATTGAAAAAGTAAATTAATGTAGTAGAACTGTCATTTTTATTGAAAAAATATATTATTGATGAAGGAATGTTATGTGCCTATGATATGTGTGTCATTAAAAATATACCTACCACCTAAGTAGGGAATTATAAAAAGAGGTCTGATAGATTATTAGATCCAAGGACATATGGAAATACCCTATCTTCTAAGAAATGAAGGAACATTTCCAAAACTATCTATACACTAGTACCAAAATATTATATCTGTGATATCTCAGTAGTTTGGCAGGAGCAAAGAATTTCTCTAGGCCCGTGAAAAATTTCTTTTAATAAATATTTGAATTAACAAACATATTCATTGTGTTTTTTCTCCATACCTCAAAGCGTTGAATTGGTATTAAACTACTAGTACTAAATTGAACAGTTCTTCAACTTTAGACTACTTTCTGCTTTTAAGTTTTCCAGCTCCACTATCTTTGGCCTAAAACTCATGCAGACAAGATGGGAAAGGATGGAATGGGATGGAACAGGATGGGAAGGGAAGAGAACAGAAGGCAAGGGAAAGAAAGAAAGAAATCATTTGACAGGACATCAAGGAAATGCTTTTAATTATCACCCAAGACTACTTACAAACTATAAAGATGATATTAAGACACATAGGTCACATATTCACACACAAGACATGGGTAGATTCTGTTAAGTGTTCATGAGTACTGTTTCTTCAGGATCTCTCTATTCTGAGTCTCGTACACTAATTACTAAGCATATAATGAGTCTTTTGTTTCACTTATGCTAAAAAAAAAAGAAGAAGGTAACGGGGAAGGAGGAGAGAAGAAAGACAGAGGCAGAGAGATAGAGAAAGCAAAGGAGGAAGGAGGAACAGAGGGGAGAATACGTTTAAACAGGTGATATCACAGGCTAAAAATGCCTAAGGAAAATAAATACATTTTATTTTAAATTTAAATCTCAATTTAAAGCAAGGGTAAGGAATGACCAGGAGCTTGAAGATGTCATGAAATAGTGGGCACAGTTCAATTTTTTTTTTTAATACACAGAAGTGGAAGAATGTTTTGAGTTTAGGGAACTGTCCCCAGTATAAGTTTAGTACATATCACCCAGTGCTCTTCTAATGGCTAATTATTTAATACAATCACAAAATATAAGCTAACATTCTACACCAATCCAAATATTTTAAGGAAAGATATTCAATTAGCTCTGTTACCCCACCATCATTTAATCAGAATATGATTCATTTAGAGTGACTTAGAAAATGTCTCTAAAGTAAACTGCGTCTATGTTCTGAAACAAAAAGATGGTTATTTATTTGGGGAAAAACTCATCAGCAAATAAGATTAACAAATAGCTAACAGAACACATACATATGTACAATTACCTATATAGTAAATTATACTATATGGATGGAATTATCTTAGCAGTAGTGATTCCGCAATCTGTTGTTAAATTTCTATGATAAAGTATAAAGAAACTCAAAATGAAAGTCTTTAGGTTTCTATTTGCCTGAAACTCACCTGAAGTGCAGAAAGAGCCACAGCACCACAAAGGCAGATAAGAGGGTATATGGGGAACAGAAATCTCTCCTCTTTGTGAGGCTGAGCAAAGAAGATAATGATCCAAATGTACATTGGTGACAAGGTAAGCCAATAGGGACGGCCTAAATTCTGAACTGTAAGAAACAGAAAAGAAGCAATGTCATATTTCACTAGAGTAGAAAAACTGCAACCTATATAGCCTTCATGTCCCCCAACACTGGATTTGGGATAGCGTGAATCTGTCCTCGGCCACCTCTATTCACTCACAAGATGGTCCAAGACGTTCATACTCCTCTTAACCATGCAACAAAATGTCAGCTAGATGGGTTGTATCATTTTTGTTGATAGCAATTATATTTACGATAAAAAACAATTTAAAAGCAAAAAAAAAGAAAGAAAGAAAAGAAAAGAAAATGGCAGCTAATAACGGAATTCCATTCTCTTTCTAAAGAGACTGCATGCATATCACCAGACTCAAATGGTTTACAGGTTGTTAGTAAAATGAATTCTACCTTAGATAGGGAAAGAAAAGTCTTTTCTACTATGGGGTCCTGACACTAGGTCTAGAGACCCCTAAGATTACCTGCCACAACCTAAAATTTCTTTAAATTTTAATTCTATTAAATAGAATATTTATATACTATGTTCTAGGTAACACTCTTCCCCTTTTAGCAATCAGCCTTTTTTATTACACCCAAGTAACTGTAAAGAAGAGTCACGGACCACAGGTTAAAAATAGAAGGATATGATGGAGGAACCAGCATTCTCAAACCCATTAACCGTATTTTTTTCAACTGACAAGCAGCCTGCTGCAAAACAAGAACAAAAATAACCCTGATAAAGCTTCCTCTCCTTCTCCCCTACAATACCTTTCCACTCTAAATCCCTAACTGGAACCAAAATTTTAAAAAGAAAGCATGTGCAAGTACTAAAGGGATTTAATGATCACTGAGGCTCAAACCCCTGCTGGAAAGTTCCTGTGGTTAGGCACATGAGTACTGAGTGATAAGCTTGCAATCCCACAGTGAGAGCATCTCCTCCTGTGCTTGTATTAGTCATAATGAGCAGTGCAGCAGGAATTTCATGTAAAGGCTATAAACACAGTGCCCTCTCCTGCCCACTAGATTCATGTACCATAAGTTTTCATAGTTATTTATCCCACAGAATCCAGCCTGTAATCAAGGGGCCATACCTGAGTAATACCTAATTTACAGTTTTTTGGATGTATGTACATTTACCAAAGAGTATAAGATCCTCTATTTGAGGACAGGGCACAGACTATCTTTTGCTTTTCTTTGCATCTTACTTTGTCCCAGGGCCTGACACATAGTAAGAGATTAATAAATGCTTGTTGACTGATTATTCAGGAATAAAAATTCTTAAGCTACAACACCAGTTATTTTCAACTTTGTCCACAATAAGATATTAGACTACATTTTTAGATTAATACCTTGCCAAGATTTAACTATTAATTGGAATTTTCTCAATTATTATAGTATGTCCCAGCATGTATGAACCTAACCTCAGTGGCAAAAATTCTTTTGTGCCATAATAATCATTTCTGAAACATGATTTTACATTTTACATATTTTAAAATGTAAATTTGCTCCTTGGGGTTGACTTCATGTTCTCCTATTCCAAGCAAAAGTACGCCGTAAACTGACATTTTTAACCTGGTCAGTTCTTTTTTGCCCAGGGTCACACAGCTAGGAAGTATCAAGTGTTTGGTCTGAGGCCACATTTGAATTCAGGTCCTCCTGACTTCAGGGCCAGTGCTCTATCCACTGCACCACCTAGCTGCCCCTTGGTCAATTCTTTATAATCAATTTATAATACAAAAAACAGCACAATGGAAACATAAGCTGACTGAGAAAAAAATCACTCATAACCCTTCCAAATCAAGAAAGCAAATCTAGAGTCAATTCTCTTCCCAATTTAAGAGTTCTGCTTAAATCTGACCTTCCTGAAAAGAAAGCCAGAAGCATTTGATTAGTTGATAACCTGAGTCAGGACAGTAGTATAAAAACAGATGCCGAGAAACAAATAAATGATTGGTAAAGTAAGTAGTCCAGAGGCAAGCATCAGACTTAAGAGCAACTCCTCCTAATTCAGCCCTCCAGTTAGGGGGAAAACCAAATAAATATTTTTAATTAATTTTTTGTTTTCAACAATCACTTCCATAAGCTTTTGAGTTTTGAATTTTCTCCCCCTCCATCCCCACCTCCCTCCCCAAGATAGCATACAATCTGATATAGGCTCTACATATACATTCCTATTAAACATATTTTCATATTAGTCATGTTGTAAAGAAGAATTAGAACCAACAGGAGAAACCACAAGAAAGAAGAAACAAAAGAGAAGGGGAAAAAAAGAGCAAATAGTGGCTTCAATGTGCACTGAATAAATATATTTTTTTAAAGTTCAGCTAAGGTGATTTTCACCAACATTTTTGCCTCCAACAGGGTTCATTAGACATACTGCACCCTTGGAACAACATAATCTTCATAGGACAAAGGACTCTAAAGATTGTGTTCCCCTGAGATCTTGCAAATGCCTTTTCCTGTTTAGCTGGTTTGCAAGCTGTGTAGGCTTCCTTAACTGTGAAGATGTAAGACCCTTCCTGTAGTCACTGAGGACTGTGGCAAATTAATGGGTTACCCAGGCATTGTGGGTTTCTGTAGATTTTTACTGATGTGGTTTCATTTGCAATAAATTAAGAAAACCTTCAGATAGGTCCTACACATCTAGTGCAGCCTTGCAAACACAGGCTGCAAAAACAGACCAGCCTGCCATTCCCCTAAGAACACAGTGAATAAAAGAAGGGAACTCTATTTTTCCTCCACGGTAAACACTGTCACCCTGAGCAGCTATTTACAAGGCTGGCTAATGTTTTCTGAGGCACAAGTCTTCCTGCCACCAGGCAGACTGGAATCTTTCATAACTCTACCACTTACCATGAAATCTCTGCAACAGGGTCTCCATGAGGGAAGTCAGCGGTAAAACCAGAAGAGCCAATACAAAGGCCACATTGAAATTCAGAAACCCGTTAATTAAATAGAAATACCAGGGTTCTGTGCCTGAAGGAAAGAGAGACAAGGGACCATTAGGGTGAGCCCTACAAACAGGAGAAGCTTAACACATCATGCTCTATATTCATTAAATGTTGGTCATCTGCTAACTCAAAGTACTGGCAATTTACAAAATACAAGGAGAATAAAAATAGAACATGAAAAAAAGAATGGAAAAGGTGCTCGTATACATATAAATGATACCAAACCTCAAATAACAAAGGGTGGCAGTCATGATCGACTGGTGAAGAATGCAAGGTTTTAAACAGCCAGCTACACCACTACCATTGACCTTTACAGTATGAAAAGCCTAGGGGTTTTTCAGCACAACCAACTAATTCAGAGTTGGGAAGCACAGGTACATACACATGTATAAAAAAACCCATAACAATCAGGCCATCACGAATTTGCTCACCTCCTCAAAACATTCTGCAATCAGTCCACAAGCTTTTATTAAGTACTTATTACATGCCAGGCCGTGGGGATAGAAAGACTTTAAAAAATGAAATAATCCTGCCCTCAAGGAGCTCACATTCTATAAAAGGAGACTAACAGGTACATGTAATTAATATATTCAGAATAAACAGAAAATAAATATAAAGCAGTTAGATACAAGATAGTGAAGAAGGGAACTAGCAGTTGCAGGGATCAGGAAAGGTTTCCTGGAGAAGGCAGCTCTTGGGCAGTATCTTGAAAGAAATAAGGGAATTCTTTAAAAGGAAAATAAAGGAGGAGGTGGTGAGGAGAGTGCCCTCAGGGCATGCCAGACAGCTAATCTTCCCTGGGAGCTGGGAGATGAGGAAAGCATTAGAAATTTCAGCTGGGCTACACAGGGTCACAAAACACTCTGCTTTCATCTTCTGGCCCTGGTTTCATCCAGTCATACTTATAGACAACCCTCAGGTACCTCACTCTTGTTTTTCCTATAATGCAGAAGGCAGAGGTATTATGGGGCCATTCATCTGATAAACAAAAATAGGTCTTCCTGTTTAGGATCATCTTCAGTGTTAAGTTTCACTCAGCTACCTTGAAGATCAAGAATGAAGCAAAATGACAGAAAACATAAATCTCAGTCTCATTAGTTTTGACTCCTCAACTTGAGATGCTTAAGCCAAAAATGATTAAGAGTGGCAGCTCCCTCTGCACATTTAGCAAATTTCCCTCTGCTTCTCCCCTCCCTGTGATTATTTCAATCAGCCAGTAAATGACACACACGGATCTTAATCATTGTGCTGTTGTGACACCCACCACGCACCACAGCAATTTCCTGCAATCAGCACTGCTTAAAAGGGTAATCAGGAGGCTGAGGAGCAGTCAGGAAAACCTGACATCTTTGCAGCTTGCACAGCAAAATAAGACTGGAAACTAAACTCAAAATGTCAGAAATGTTTGAAAAAGAAGGGAAAGAGAGAGAAAAGGACTCTAGTTCAAACAAATGTATGAGAGCCTCTGCAATAAGGCCTCCTGTGGGAGTCTGAATTCACTGAGGACAGTGACATCTTGTACCCTTGAGGAATGACCTTTCAGACTAAGGAAGACTAATGAATGAATATAGTTTCAAGCAGAAATCCACTCCTCTGGGTTTGTGGTAACATTTTGCTAACACGTTTCTCTAAAACAGGAGGCACTAGCTCCTTGCCTGGCCTACCTGACTGCTACCTTTAATTCACAGGACCATTTTTTCCTTAAAGAAATCTGGAAATCTGTAGGTTTTGAAGAGAAACCATGACGAAGAACAAAGGGAAAATGAGTCACTCTTGGGACATTTTCTACTATGGTCAGTAAGCCTTGATGGACACACTTGGTCATCATTTTCACAGCATGGAGTTTCAATTGTTTCTAATGCTATGAAATTATATTGATCAAGCTTGGCCCCCAAAACTATGAGAAGGCACCTTCTATCCTTCTTTGCAGAGGTGAGGTGGGGAATTACGAGTGAGGACTATTGTTGGACTTAGTTGATAAATTCACTGGTTTTTCTGAACTGCTCCCCACCCCCCTTTTTACTTCTTTGTTATGAAGGATAGCTGTCTGGAAGGAGTGGGGAGAAGAAATACATTGGGAAATGTAGATTATGTAAAAAGAAAAGATATCAATAATTTTTGAAGTTTTAATAGCAGAGACCCTTTTTTTCTTTTTGGTATTTGCAAATATGTTTGGAAGTCAAAGGAAACTTTAAATAAGCATAATGTATAAATATTTAGGAAGAAAGCTCTTTAGGGTTTGACAAAGACTTATTTCTATCCCACATCAGCTTACCCTCCATTCTTGTTGATTATCATTATAACCATGTAGACAGTACTTTGAGCTCTTGAATCAAAATTACCAAGTACTAAAGCCAACTGTCATTATTGCAATAGGAATTCAGACATCAAGTTCACTACCAGGCAATCTATAAAAGTTACACAACCAACTATTGCCTTGCTGAAGGATGGAGCAAAAGGAGAGATGAGCCAAGAGCGAGTAAGGTTTAGCCTAGGCAATCTTAGAAATAAGAGCAAAGGTTATGGAAAAAGAGTATTTAAGTAAAATTCTACTAGAAGGCTTTCCCAAGCTGTGATGAGATGCCTCCCTTTGGATAGTAAAAGGTAGAAACTTTTATCTCTGCCCAGGGAGGTATCACTCCTTCGGCTTGGAAAGTTCTGATGCTGAACCTCGAAGATTTTGCGTCAGAGTGGTAAGTCAAGGGCTTCACTGATGCAAGGTTTAACGTAAAAATGAGCTGCATGCAGAGCCTCTCTGCAGTGAATTACCAATTCAAAGCCATGTGATTACATACCATCTTGACAGAAAGCACCTCAATTTCTCTCCATTCCTAAGAGCTAATGGAAGCTTTGAAAGAGTTTGCCAAGATAAGAAAAAGACGTGATTTCTGATGTTTGCTGTGCTGGGTGGAGGGAAGTCATTACCCATGACTTAGTACCATAGGTACTAAGAGACATCACGTCATTCTTATAAATGTCAAGTTTGCACAGTAAAGAGTGGAAAGTCATCAGACATAAATGATTAACAAAGCCCTCTGGAACAACTTTTACTGGCAAATAACTTTAAATAAGCCAAAAGCAGGTTTCATACACTTTCCCTTCCACTGCCCTCAAAAACATCAAATTATATGGTGGGGGAGGGAGACATTTACTGCCCAGAGCCATGACCTTTCTCAGACTTCAACTCCTATAACATTATGGCTCTAAACAAAAACCAAAGGAGGCAACAAGAACGTGCAATGGGACAGGAGGGACAGAGCACTTGAGTGGGAACAGATGTCCTAAATGAAATATCATTGCTTGTCTTGCTTTTTGGGAAGTATGTGTTCTTTTATCTTGTTTTTATTGATGTCTTTTGTTTTTACTTCAGCTTTATTTCCAAATATAATCCTCCCTCATTCCGTGACCAGGAAAGCCATCCTTTGTAACAAAAAATAAAAACAACACAGAAAAAAGTAATCTGTAAAACCAACCAACACATCAACCATTTATAGCAGGATATGCAATATCTGACAAACCATAATCCCCCACCTCCACAAAGAAGGGAGAGAGGTCCATTTCTTCAACTTTTTTCCAGGGTCAAGGTTAGTCATATGTACTCTGGTTTTCCTCTTAAGCCTTTACACCACCGCCAGTCAGTCAGTCAATAAATATTTAATATTCACCCAGTCAATAAGTATTTATTAAACACCTACTGTGTATCTGACACTGTGCTAAGTGCTAGGGACACAAAGAAAAGTAAAAGATAATCCCTGCCCTGAGGAGCTCACAATCCAATGTGGGAGACAACATGCAAACAGCTATGCACAACATATGTACAGGATAAATAGAAAATAATCAGTAAAGGAAAGGCACTAAAATTAAGGGAGATTGGAAAAGGCTTCCTATGGAAGGTGAGATTTTAGCAGTGGGAAATCAGGAGGGGAAGATGAGAAAGGAGAACACTCCAGACATGGGGGGATGCCTGGAGAGAGAGATGCCTGGAGCCAAGAGATGGAGGGTCTTGTTCAAGGAACAGCCAGAAGCCCAGTGTCACCGGATCCTAGAGTACATGGTGAGGAGTAAAGTACAAAAAGACTGGAAAGGTAGGAGGAGGCTAGGCTATGAAGGCCTTTAGAAGCCAAATAGAGGATTTTATATTTGCTCCTAAAAGTGAAAAGGTGCCACTGGAGTTTATTGAGTAGAGCAGTGACACGGTCAGACCTGAGCTTCAAAGGGACTTACAGCAGAGAGACCAGTGAGCAGACTACTGCAATAATACAGGAGGGAGAGCCTGCACCAAGGTGGCAGCAGGAGCAGAGGAGAGAAAGAGGCATATGTGAGAGATGTTACAAAGGTAAAACTGACAGACCTTGATAAAAGATAGGATATGAGAGGAGAGAGCTAGTAAGGGGTCAAGGATGATCCCTAATCTGGGAGCCTCGGTGACTGAAAGGATGGTGATATCCTCAAAAGTAATAGGGAAGTGAGGGAGAGTTTTGGAGTAAGACAATGAGTGTAGTTTTAGACATATCAACTTTGAGATGGCCAGCAGGCAGTTGGAGATGTCAGAGTAGAGATTGGCAGAGAGGACAGGACTGGATAAGTAAATTTGAGAATCATCAGCATAGAGAAAATCAGTCTATGAGAGCTATGAGATTGCTAAGGGAGAGAGAAGAGAAGACGACCCAGGACGGAGATTTGAAGTGCACCCAAGATTAGCGAGTAATGATTTGGTTGAAGATCCAGCACAGGAGACTGAGGATTGTCAAAAAGGAAGGAGAAGAATCAAGAGAGAACAATATCTCAAAAACCTAGACTATAGGGAGAGAGAATATCAGGGTGACTAAGTGTCAAAGGTTGCAGGGAGATTAAGATGAGGATTGAGAAAAAGTCATTAGATTTGATAATTAAGATGTCGCTAGCAACTTCGGAGAGAGCAGTTTCAATTGAATTATGAAGGCAGAAGCCACACTAAAGCAAGTTAAGAAGACAGTGAGAGAAGAGGAAGTGAAGGCACCAACTGTAGATAGCCTTTTCAAAGAG